AGAAGTAGTGACTGTCCCATAGCAGCTGGAAGGGATGCTATGAGTCACTGGTACCTTCCCACTCAGATCTACTCTAGTGTGGAAAGGAAGGGGCATTTTTCTAGAGTTCTTTTGCACATTTCTGACTAGCTAAACTGCCTTAGAAATTTCATTATAGAACTCCCCCAAAAAACTAGGTGTGACAGATGCTCTCCTTTCCCTATCTCCCCAGTCATATGCACAGAGCAGTGAATTATCCTCAAGGAAAGCAAAGTGTCTTCTCATTTTACTAAATTAAAATCACTATACTGGACATAAAGCAGTAGATATTACATCAGTTAATGCCACAAGGCTAACAGCAATTAGTGCTATCAGCAGAAACTGATGCACAGAAAATTTCACATGAATATGAGGGAAGAACTTCTTTACCATGCAGGTGACTGAGCACTGGAACAGATTGCCCAGAATGGGTGTAGAATCCCCCTGACTGGTATTTGAGAACCATCTGGATGCAATCCTGTGCTTGAGGAGGGAAGTTGGACCAAATGAACCACTGTGGTTCCTTCCAAAATGCCCCATTCTGTCATATAGAGAAAAGTAAAAAATACCGCTGCATCAAAACGGACTGAGTCTGTTTGGACTAAACATTGCAATGAAAATTCATACTTCTAAGACACAGAAGGGAGAGACAGTAGATGAGGGTCCCCACTTCACCAGGATGGAAATGAGAATGATGTCCAAAGGATTTACTGAGGGAAAGAACAGTGTGGAGGATTGTTTTGTTTTTTAGACATGCCTACAAGCCCATTACCAGAGGCGTGAGAGTGTGCCCAAGGAGAGCATGCTCTTGTTCAGCCCTGGAAAAGCAATGACAGCATCTCTCAGAGATTATGTAAACCAGGGCAAAATGAAGCCATTCTTGGAGGTGATGAGCTGTATGAGAAGCCAAGGACATTTTTATGTCCCTGATAGCCTTCTGAAGTTGCTGAGACAGTTCATTGCTCAGTTCAGACCCCCTCTGTCACATAGCTAGAAGAATAGCCTATGTGCAGGCTGAAGGCTGAAGTCTGGTTATTCCTGTAATACCTCCAAGGAAAGAAATGCTGTGAATCACCATTCCTTGCAGTTTAGTAGATGAGCCACAGCACCCTGGAATGTTTGCAGTAGAGCATGAGAAATTCCACATATGTGGGACATTTACCCAACTGGCTGGCAGGCTCTGTGACAGCTCTTGCTTGTCTCAGAGCCAGTCCCTGAAGAGAGGACTCTTCTGGCCTCACTGCTCTGAGTTCCTCATCCAGTACAGCTGAGTGGCCCTGTCTTGGCCCATTCCAGAACATTTGGAAACCAAGTATTTTGTAATATCTAATGTGAGCTGCTAGGAATTGCAACAGAGATGTCAGGAAGGAATACAGTGACTAAACAAGGCTTTTACCCAGAAACCCTTTGTGGCCATTCTAGAAATTTCTTCTTAGCAACATTTGAACCCTAAAGTCAAAATATATAAATTAGCCTTTGTTCCACGCTGGTGTCCAGAGTAAGACCAAGAGTTTGTTTCCCATCCAGTTCAGCTGAGTTACCTAGAAGGACAATACAGAGCAGCCCACTCCATAGAGGGAAACAGCAAAGGAGAGGTAATACCCATGGTCTGTCAAGGTACTGCTGGCTGGCCGTGGAGGTAACCAACCAAGGTTTGCAACACTTGCCCATGTCAGAACTAGTCCTGTGTGAGAGGCTTGGAGATGGTTAAAGAAACTTCACAAGAGCATTTATGAGATATATGCCTGTTCTGAGCATGAAGACTGATCTCCACTGTCCTGGGACGTGCCACTGACATTCTGGAACAAGTCTTAATCACTTCTTTCTGAGGAGCAGAAGAGAAGGAAGGAAGGAAGGAAGGAAGGAAGGAAGGAAGGAAGGAAGGAAGGAAGGAAGGAAGGAAGGAAGGAAGGAAGGAAGGAGTCAACTGCATTACACATTAAGCCCTTTCCTCTCTCCCTTTAGTTCTCTCTCTTTCTCATAGACTTTCTAGACAGACCCTCTCTGATGCTGTCTTGTCTTCTCTCACTTCAATTTCAGCAGTCTCAGGTTTATTTCTGTATATTTTCGTGATGATACTCTTTTCCTTAAAGCATCGATGATAGGCTGGAGAGGCAGTGATAGGAGCAGATGGATTAGGTATCCAGGGACATCTTGTTTTACTAGCACATCCCTTGGCTCAGATACCCTTGTTTGGGGCATCCCTGCATGATTCTGGAGTAGACCATTTTAGCAATAAGCTAGTCCCACACATTTTCCTCTTATTGCCTGAATTAATATCCAAGAAGCTATTTTCCAGCATAAAAACGGCATCAAAGAGCCCTTCCCACAGCAAAAGGATGCCTATTTATGCATCGATCGCATTGTAAATGGATGTCACTCAAGATGGGACCTTCACAGCAGCAGAAGCAGCAGCTTCCTAAGAGAGGAAGACAGCTTCCTCTAAGACAGCTTCCTGTTATCATGGACAGCCAAGGCCAGCAGACACAAGTGGCAGGGTGGCCCCCCACGAGTGCTTCACTGTCCACCCTGTTCCATGAGGTGCAGGGTCAATTCAGGACAGCTCAGGCTGTTTCTGCTGCACTCTGCCCAACCAGACTAAAGCACGAGCGTTCCAGGCGTGGAGAGCTCTGTGGAATTTGAGGTAGGGCTGGGCTGTACAGGCCAAAGACAATATTGTGTATACAAGTCCTCTTTGCTTCCTTTGGGGTTTTGCTGTCTCTCTGTTTGCACACAGCTGTGGTGGGCAGAACCAGCATCTGTTTAGAAATGGTGTGGCTGTGAATGGGGATTGATGAGAAGAGGAAACAAGGCCAGAGAGATGCCAACGAGATAAATGGCGTTGGTGCACACAAACATCCAGAAACAGAGCGACTGGCCAGAGTTATCTGTGTTTCTCACACAGCTGACTTCCTAGCAGATTTAAGACACTTAGTAATGATGGTGTTGCTATTTGTCGAGCAGATTAGAGCCAGGCCACTGGATGAGGATGAAGTGGATGTGACTAAACTCAGGCTCAGTGTTTACTTTCAACATATTGTGAGCCATCCAAACTCACCAGGTCAGCAGAGACCTAGTCTAGGGAGTGCACCCCAAAGAGCAATCCATCAGGCCTGCCATGGCGTGAGACACTCGCTTGTCCAAAAACAGCCAGCCAGACACCCAGGCCTCTGCCATATGAGGCTGGCAGGTGTGGCACAAGATCCCCCTTACTGAGGGAAGCCTGGAGAGCACCAAGCAAAACCAGCACCTTTGTTTGAGTGATGAATCCCAGCTGGTGTGTCTACTTTAGTGTGACCAGATCCCTCTCTGACTGCCCATGACTGTCCCAACCAGATTTCCTCTGGCCACAGTGAAAGTTTAAGCAAACTAAAGCACATGTGGTCACCTCCTTGTGGACACCTGAATATGTCCTGGCTTTGAACTGAATCCCAGCCAGGCTGCCAGCAGGGGCCAGCTGAGGAAGAAAGCATAGCCAAAGAGGATGTGAAAAGGAGGGCAGGAAGCACAGCTCCAGATTTTGCTAGCATGCAACTCATGCCGTTAAGAATTGCCCTGTGGTGAGGTGGGCAGTGCACAGTGCAGTCACCAGAGCAACAACAAGATACCACACAGCTGGTTTAATTCAAGTCACGTCTGGGAGCACAGGGACAGCAGAGCATGGCCATCATGGAAGAAAACTCAGATTCATTCACTTTCCAGCCATCTGAGGAAACAAACAAACCAAATGAGTCCAGATTCCATTCTGTGGACTTCGGGTACTCAGGAAACTGGGGCATGACATCATCCAGCAGAAAGGAGACAGCAGCTCGTTCAGCTTCTGTAGTGCTGTAAGAAACCACCACTTCTCTGCACAGTGGGGGAGCTCATGTTTTTAAGGGAAAAAGTGACCTGTCAGTCACTACTTACAATGTATGATTGTCTAGAAGTTCCAAGGAAGTGTACAGAGGTGGCAGCCCTTTGACCTTGAAAAATTTCTTTCTCCAGATAATTTTGTTGTTTAATAGTGGAAGAAGATGTGGACTGTCACTGTGAGTGCATGAGTCAAAGCAGCAGGTGGAATCCCCAGTCAGTCTGATTTTCCCAAGAGATGGTCACCCCATGCTGTACCCCTAACAAGCTGTTTATTTAGGGCATTGGCAGATCTTCCCCTCGCTGTGCATTTGCCAAACCACAACTAAGAGCTTTCCATTTAGCCACGGAAGGAAAATCTTGAAAGCAATTCATGAGTCTACACTAAAACCACTAGAGCTATAATTAAGTCAACTCTTAAAGTAGTGTAACTCTTTTTATGGCTGAAATAGCAGTCTTTATTTTAAGCATCTTTGGAGAAAGAGGAGGAGAGAGGCAAACATTTCCATGTGAAGGGTTGGAAACTCCTTTCAGCGTACTAAACATTCACCAAGGCTTCCTGTGCGCACTGGAGTTTGTCCTTTCCCTGCTGGCTGGATTTTCATCCCGTTTGACCTCCAGCAGCCGGCTGAAAGCCCTTCTCCAACCCGACAGCAGCTATCTTCGGGTCAAGGACACCGGTGGGACAGCGGGGACTGGGACGGGCGCAGGACACTGCCCGGAGCTCGGAGAGCCCCGAGGACGGGCGGAGAGCGAGAGAGCAGCGAGGGGCACAGCGGCAGCGCGGACAGCGGGAGAGCAGGAGGGGCACAGGGGCAGCGCGGACAGCGGGAGAGCAGCGAGGGGCACAGGGGCAGCGCGGACAGCGGGAGAGCAGGAGGGGCACAGCGGCAGCGCGGGCGGCCGCGCCGAGCGCTCCCCGCTCACGCCCCGCGGGCGCGGCGCACCTGCGGCGGGCGGGCAGCCCGTGCCTGGCGGCGGGGCGGTCACGCCGGAGGCTGCCCGGGGCGGCGCGCAGCCTGCGCGGTGTCTCGGCACGCTCGCCCGCTCCCCGCCCCAAAGCCGCGCCGCTGCCCAGCCCCGCTCCCGGCGCAGCCAGCCCGAGCGCGGAGCGGCGGAGCCCCCGCGGGATGGCGGGGCTGTGTCTCTGGCTGTGCCTGTGCACGGCGGCGGCGGCGGCGGCGGAGCTGCGGCTGACCCTGCTGCACACCAACGACGTGCACGGGCGGGTGGAGGCGCAGGGCGAGGGCCCGCGGCGCTGCGCGGCCGGAGCGCCGGGATGCTTCGGCGGCGTGGCGCGGAGAGCGGCGCGGGTGGCGGCGGAGCGGGCCGCGCACCGCAACGTGCTGCTGCTGGACGCCGGGGACCAGTACCAGGGCACCGTGTGGTTCTCCCGCTTCAAGGGCCGGGAGGCGGTCCACTTCATGAACCTCCTGCGCTACGATGCCATGGTAAAGCGGGCCGGGGGACGGCGAGAGGCGCGGTGGGGTCTTCCCCTCCCTCTCTCCCCTTGGCTGCTGGGTCTATTCCTGCCTTTCCTCGCCCCGTGCCGGTTTTTCGCATTGCCGCCTCCTCCGGTGCGTAAAGTTGCCTCAGAAAAGGCTGTAGGTAATGCTAAAATCGTGGCCAAAGGCAAGTGGGAGGCAGACGAGGAGAAGGGAAGTGATTTGGTAACGGGTAATGAACTCCCGGCCGAATTAAGTCGAGAGCTGGCAGCCCCGCGGGCAGCCAGAAACCGGGAGATGATGGCAAGGCTACCCAGAGAGATGCAATGGGACTCTCCTTGGCAGATGCGGGCAAGGGGCTGGACGGGCTCTGTTGGAGAGGGGTTGGCAAGCCATGGAATGACCCCAGCAAAAAGCCAGGTGAAGAGTCTGGTCTGAGACAAGGGTGTCACCTACCTGAGGCTTGCAGTCTGTCCTGCTTCGGTCGTGCGGGAGGGCACAGGTGGCATAGGTTGGCAGTGCTATTTCAAAGGGTGGAGGTTTTTAATTTTCATCAATCCCACCCTGGTTGTGTCCAGTGCCCTCAGAGCTGTGGTATATAAGGGGTATATAAGGGGCTGTGTACAAACAGCCCAGGGATCGCAACAGCGCCTTAGTGAGGAAGGTCTCTGAGGCTGTGCTAACCGCGCACCTTTACTCTGCCTCTTTTGGTCATGCAAGTGCTGAGAGGAAGGCAGAATTTGTGGCTGAGGTGGTTGGGGGATGTCACTCCATGTCCTTAAATCTTTTGTCGCAGGGCAGTGGCTTATTTTGCTTGTGTACAATCCCGGAAAGGAGAGAGATTAAAGTCACGTTTGAGCATGGCTGCTGTTGTGAGAGTGACTGGAACTTTATTTCATCCCATCTGTCAGCTTGAGGGGAAAATCTTCTGGGCATATCACATTCTCTGTCTTCGTCTTTTTTGCTTTGCCTGGAAAGGACGGTGCTTTCATTTGCAGGAGAAAATGGCTTCACCTGTGTATTCCCTCTGTCTCAGGACAGCTGTGGAAGGGAAAGTCATGCCCCAGTGCACTTTCTTAGGCTAAGCACCAGACAGACAGGTCTGTGAGCGATACTGCTCCCTGTTCACGTGCCCTAGTGAACGGTTTTTTAATTGTGAAACATTAACAGGGTCTTTCCTCCCAATGGTGATGGAGAGTGTGTACATTCAGGACTCATCTCACTGAGAGCTGGAGAGCACCTTGGGATTCTGCAGTGCAAGAAATAGCTTGAGGTGTTTTTTCCTACTTTCTTCATAAAGCTTTCTGCTGTCTGTCAATTTTCAGTCTTGTGCTTGCTGGTATAACTGGTTCATGGGCAGCCTGCGAGCCTGTACAGTTCCTGATTTTATCACAAGAAGAAATTTTTTCAGGCGGTGTTGAAGTACTGTTCAGTTTTAGAAAAGTTATGTAGGAACAATCTGGTTTTGGAGATACCATGAGTTTTTTCATCAGAATAAGCTTTAAAAAATAAACCCACCCCATACCAGATATCCAGATGCTTGTGCCAGATGTGAATGCCTTAGGCAAAGTAGCCAACCACTTGTGCTCTGTGGAGGACCAGTATTCTATTACAATTTAAATTGAAGGTGACAGGATAGGTGCTAAACGTTGTGTAGATTTTCAGTCCTTCTCTGCTGCCAAAGACCCTGAGGAATAGATGCCCAGTGTCGGGCAGTGCTGCAGAATCTGTTTCTATTCGTCTGTCTGTGGACCGTGGGAGGCCGTGCAGTGGGGATGGTGGCTGGGTGGGGGCACAGGGAGCAGGGCAAGAGCCGCACTGAGAAGGGTGAGATAGTGCTTCTTCTTCAAACAGAATTTGGGAAACCACATCCCTGACAGTAGGGGTGGGGATTACTGAAAGTTTAGAAGTGGGCTACAGGGCTAGGATTACAAACAGGGTGAAGGAGGGAGCATGAGTCATTAAAGTTGTTCCAGGATGCGGGCAGGAGGCATAGGAGGATTTAGGACAGCCTGGAAGCATTAGAGGTTTTCTCCATAAATAGGAGAAATTTCCTTTTTTAACTTTCTTTTTCTCATTTATACCTGTTATCACCTCCAAACTGTTTTCTCCTGTTTAATTTCCTCCCAAAAAATTTCATGACACCAGCTTTTTTTTTCTGATGTAATTAAGACTAAAATCCAATATAAATTCCTCAAAGGCAGTAATTGGAAAGGTGATACAAGTCTTCTAGCTTTACTTTTAAGTTTCATCCTTCTGTTAATTTGTATCCTGATTTTTGAAATATTTTTAGACTTGCTGCTTGTGAAAAACAGGATTATATAATCACATGTTGTGTGCCTGAATATTTCTGTTTATTCCCCCTTGTGACTTGCACTTATGCTGGCCAAAAGATTCAGATTTGGTTAAGGGATATTGCACAGGTGCAGAGTCCCAGGAGCTCTGAGTGTGAGGGCAGTTAGTTAGAGTATAGCAACCCAAAACGGTCCACATCTTCCTCCTCAGAGAAGGAGTAGCATCAAAAGTAAAACCATATTTTAGCCATCAGTGATTTCTCATTAACAACTTAGTAACCACCCTCACCACAGGAAAAGTTTTGATTAAAGGAAAAGTTTTGATTAAAGCCAGTGTCCTAATGGACATGAAATAATCCAAATGCAAGACAACAAAGCCAAGAGAACAATCTTTCCTAACTGGTTTGTTGGGTTAGAATTCTGAGATTTTTTCCTCCAACAAGCTGGTGGCAGTTATAGCCCATTCAATTTCTTAATTCATTTGCAACCTTTTTTTTTTTTGTTGGGGTTTAATTGCATATTTATGAGAAACAAAGGGCATGTGCACTAGCCAAAAGGAAAGAGCTTTTTGCCATTCCAATAGACTCTACCAGTCCATAGATATCTTTTCAGAACATCCAGACAGCATCAAGATTAATGTTTTTTTTTCTCTCTATTAGTATTTTTTTACAGCAAATTAGATTGCAATTAGAATACAGTTAGAAATGGAACATAGTTGGAGCGCACTGTGTTTTCCCAAGTGAGGATTTTTTTACAGATAGTTCTTGGTTCTTTTGGAAAAGTGCTGCAGCAGCACACAAACAATTTGGCTCCTTCCCAGGGGTGTGAGCAGTGTTCTCACCAGTGTCAGCAGGAACAGCTGATTTCCAATGCAAGTTACTGCTGATATCCTGAAATTTCCACCGAGCCGTTGACTAACTGCCTGTGAAGATAAAAGGAGCCGGGAATGTTTATCTGCCCAAGAGAAAAACACTGCCAACCAATTGACTGAAATATTGAGCTCCCAGACCTGTGGTGGCTTAAGGTGCTCCTTGGTTTGGAACATGATCAGGGTTCATACAGCCAATTCCAGAATAAAAACTGGGGCAAGCACAGCTGGGTGTGTGGGCTGTTTAAGTAGAACAGAATGGTACATAAGCCACCTGAGATAATGAATGCAGATTTACCCATTTAATTTCAGAATGAAATTTTAGAACACTTTTGCTTGGAAGAGTTGGCCCATTGGCTTTGGTACCTCTTACGTGCTTTGGTCCAGCTGCAACCTGAAACCTCGTATAGATTTATTATTTACCAGGTTATACAATTGTAGTGTTTCTGTGGCTGCATCTTTTCCTTGCCTAACACCTAAATGTGCTACAAAGTCCTGGCGTGTATTGTGCTTCTGCAAAATGCCATCTATGGAGGTTTTGCTGGCATATCACCAAACTTGCAGGCAAATTAGGCTGAGTATGAAAAAGGGGCAGGTAGGGGAAATTTTCCTCGAGGTAAGTCCCTTTCCAAACCAAACATTCTCATCTGGGTGGTATTGCCTTGCTAATAAATAAACAGGACTGCTCATTTTGTGTGGCAGTCTCAACATTTCACGTGTTAAGTGCACACCCATGTGTGTGCACACACATCCACTGTGAGTTGGGTCTGGGGACTCTCCCTGACTGATAAACATTACATCTTCCATAGGCAAGTAATGATATTGATGGAGGATAGGAAATGATATTTTCTTGTTGCATGGTAAAGCACAGAAGAACCTTTACTAAGTGCAACGTAAGTATGTTTTAAAAACTGTAGTCCAAGCAAAAAGCTCTTAAAATGCAATTTTTATTTAAAGAACATGCTATATATCAATGACAATATTTGTTTTCTTCAGTATTTAAACAACATATTTTCCATACACAAAATATATGTTTTTCCTTTCTGGTTATTATTAATCCTCTTTTTTAGAGCTACAGGATGTAAAATGAAAGGGGTTTTGACCTGATACACTGTCACAAACAGATAGGTTTTGGATTTTGAAATCTGTATCATGTATCTGTATCACATCATCTGTATTTCACATCTGAATCCATGTAAGAGAGTCTGCAAAACAAAAACCTACATCTAAAAAGAAAAACAACCCAACCACTTCTGTGTTCACGAGAAACAGGAATGTGTTGGTTTAGAAAAGTTAGGATTTTCTTTCATAGAACATAGACTTTGTTTTCTCAAACATACCATGTAAATAATTATGAGACAATTTACACCGAATATTTGAGGTAGGGTCTCATATTTTCTTCTTGCTTTTTGCAGGCTTTGGGTAACCATGAGTTTGATGAAGGTGTGAGTGGATTATTGGATCCTCTTCTTAAAAATGCAAATTTTACAGTCCTGAGTGCAAATATTAAAGGGAAAACTCCGTTAGCAAACGAAATGATGAAATATGTTCATCCTTTTAAAATAGTTCATTTTGACTCAGAGTCAGTTGGAATTGTTGGCTACACTACAAAGGAAACTTCTTTTCTTTCCCAGCCAGGTATGTTTTCTTTAGTATGAAAGTTTTTGTCCTTTGTTACTATTTTGCTATTTGCCTACTTTTTAAAATCCAAAGATGAATGTTTGCAGCAGAAAAGTAGGAAGTCTGTTGTTTTATCAGTATCTACTTGTATTACTCAACTTTGCCTGATTTTTAACCTTAAAAAGGCCTGATAACATTAAAACCCTCTTTTATACAGACCTGGACCATATCTGTGAATATCAGAAAGTCACTGAGATTGCAGGAGAGCTCAGGGGTTGTTGGGCTTTTATTCTTGCTTGGGTTTTTAAAGTTATATTCCATGATAATTTACAGTTATTCATCTGTTTAAACAAAAGTTAAAACATGAATGCAACAAGAGGTTCCTACTTGTTTTTGAAGCAAAAGTTGCCCAAGATGTTTTTAGCCTCTCAAAATATTTGCAGAAATTTGACTACAGAAGGAACACCCATCCAGCTTTTACCACAATTGCTTCATTCATGTGTAAAATTAGAATTTATCAGGAAGAAGACTTTTCAATTTCTGACTATTTTTTCCAGCTTTTTAGGGGGTTTGGTTTGATGAGGGTTTTGTTTGGGTTTGGTTTTTTTGCTAAAATAAAATGGTCTACTGGAATGAGAAACACATTTAAATCAGCTGTTGGAGATATGAGTCACTGCCCGCATAGAGTTCAGTCTACATGTAACAAAAACAGAGTTTCTTCCCTGGGTTTTGCAGTTAGGGATACTCTTAGAGCTGCTTTGAAACACTTTCACATTGAAAAGGGTCTTCATATTATTATTTCATGTTATTATTTCTCTTTCTATTGCTTAGTAATATAGAAATAGTGCATTGTTTTCCTGGAAAAAAAGGAATATTATATTCTAATATATTCTAATACTTTGAGCAAGTATTAGAATATAAAACTCTTCCTTCTGTGATTTTTAATTCCAATGTTGTATGTTTAACCTGTCAAGAAATGGACATCTGAAGTCTGAATAGACTTATTGATCTCACTTCTGTTTTTTAGTGATGTGGTTTTGGCTTCCTGTCTTTTTGTCTCCCCGCAAAAAAAAAAGAAAACGAATCTGTTTTTTGTGAAGGCAATAGAATTTCACCTGTGCCTGAGGTTATGAGGGTGGATATTATCAGATGTCATGCTAGGTTTGAATAATGACAGCCAATATTGTCTTCTGTTAGGGAGTAATAAAATCTGCTGCTGCTTTTCTTCCAAACACCCGTGTCAGGGCAGCGAGATCATCAAAGTAACCATCTTGCAAATAAATACACTAGGTGAAAATCCAGATAGTGCTGGAATGATTCTATGAAGCATTTGAATACATTTCCAATAACATTCAGACATCATAACCAATGCCTCAGTATGCTGAGATACTGTAAGAGACCACAGCTAGATAAAAAAGCAGTGGTAAAAGGGAAATCCTGTTAGCTCCATTGAAGGAGCTGAAGCATCCCTAACCACAGTGTAACTGAGCAAAAGGCAGAGGAAATTTTAACAGCAACATTTATAGTGATCAGAGTTTTTCTAGTTTTCTGCTTTGCCTTTTTGGTGTGTGGAGGAATATTTAGAAGCTTTGAAAATGTGAACTCAGGACATATTAATACACCCCAGTGACTATATCTTGCCCGTGACCTAGCAATCCTTCAGACTGGTGAAATCGTGGCAGACATCAGGCTAAATAATTATCAATCTAATTCCTTATATTCAACTGATAAGGGACCTTGCTAATTTTAAATTCAGCACCTTCCTTATCTCTACACATTTCTTCCAGATGATTCCGTTTTCTCTGCCTCTGTGTGCTTTGGCATACTCTACACTCTTAGGGCATTCTCAAGGCAAACAGGAAGCTTGAGAATGCTGAAACATGAATTCCTACATTACTGCCTTCTGTGGAAGTATTTTGTGAGTGTGATTTCTTCTATTGTTAAATCTCCATAACTTCCACCCAGCTATGAAATTACCACTTGTACTTTTCATAGTCTGCTTAAAAAAAGGTTATCAAAAGACTTGAACAGAATATAAAGTCCTTAAATCTCAGTGTTTGCATCGGGAGGGACCAACTAATCTCTGCTGAAGGTACTGTTAACGCCACTGTTTGGAAACCCTAGGGATGGGAAACACATTTATAGATTACAGTCAACTGGCAGTTTTTCTGGAGTTCTCTGTTTTGCCATGTACAGCTATCTCAGCTGAGTGTCCAGCAGGTTTTTCTATGTCCTGAAAGAGTAGCTCATAACTTGGCACACAGACACAGTTACCTGTGTATTTACTTTCTAGTATTTGATGGTTCCAGCCTACTTGCTTTAGTTCTGTAATGTTGTTTGGTCCACTGTATTTTTGTATAAGGTGTAAATGCAAACCTACTTACTCTGTAGTAACCTTACAGGCAGCAAAATATTTACTTAAACTATCAACTTGGCAGAGTTTTTAAAAATGGAATTTTAAATTGCATTTATTCCACTTTATTTTGGCTATCATGCATAATATTTTTAACAGGCAGACGGTTCTTCTCCCTTGTTCAGTTGCAACAGTTTGGCTGTTTTTTCTGAAACTCTACCTCACCTAGAAAGAGGATGCCAAATCAGCTTAAAACTTTGAAAGAGAAGTGGAATATTGACATGAGCAATAAGTTAGTAATTTTGATTCAGATTGTTTTGAAAAATGCCCAGATGAGTGCTAAGCAGTATGCTGCTTTTTGCCTGGTTTCTTAGAGAATTGAACACTGTGTAATTGCTCTTACAGTCCCCCACTGTAAAACTTTCAAACTGCTGGCCCATTTCATCTCAACTACATCAAATACTCTGATGACCAGGATGCAGAGCTGTGTGCAGTGCCATGGCTAGGCCATGGAGAAGGGGTGAAAGAAGCCCCTGCAGCCCCAGGCAGAATTCCCTTTCTGAGGGCAAGGCAGACAACAAGGACATCAGTGGGTGGGTGCGTTGGCAGTGGGATGACACACCCGAGCTCTGGTGTCTGTCTGTCCTGACAGGACAGTCCTGGGAGAGGGATGGGCTTACCTGCATGGGATGGGCCTTGACCTTCCCCTCATGATGCGACTGGGTCAGTTTGTTTTGATACCTTTTCTCTACAACTGCCTGAAAGAAGGGTGTAGCAAGGTGGGGAACAGTGTCCTTCTCCTAAGTAACAAGTGACAGAGGAAATGCCCTCAAAGATTTTCCAGGGGAGATTTACGTTGGATTTTTGGAAAAAATTCTTCTTGGAAAGGGTTGTCAAGCACTGGAACAGACTGCCCAGGGAAGTGCTGGAGTCACCATCCCTGGAGGTGTGGATGTGGCACTTAGGAACACAGTTTGGTGGTGGAATTGGCAGTGCTGGATTAATGGTTGGACTCTATAATCTCAGAGGCATTTTCCAGCCTAAAGAATTCTATGATTCTGTGGGTTGAAGACTAATGATAGCATGTCTTCAATGCAGAAGACTCATTTGTAGGCTGCAATGGCATAGAGGCATAACAGAGCTGGCGCTGATGGGGACAGTTTTTTGTCATGGACCCCTGGCTACTGGCCATGGGACAAGTTAGCCCACAGGCACCTGCATGCTGGTGCAGCTTGTCAGTGGCTCGTTCCTGCTGTCTGTTTGAAGAGCTCAGCTCTCTTTGCAGAACTGGTCCCCACAGCAGTGGGGCGCAGCTGGTCCATGGTGGAGGGAGGAGTACGTGAGGAGCCTGAGCTCAGGGATCAGTTCTTGCACTTCCCTTTCTGCCAGCTGCTCTGCATCAGGTCCAGCTGCTGTCGATGCAAGGATGTGCAAAGAGGGGCTGAAGCCAGTGGCTTCCTTCAGCCTGGAGAAGAAGGCTAAGAGGGAACCAAACACAGTCTTCCACTGGTGTAAGGGGATTTTTTAGAGAAGACAGGGACAGAGACTTCCCAGAGGGGAAAAGAAATGACAAGAAACAATGGGCTCAAGCAGTAACAGAGGGAATTATGGTGGGACTTAAGGAAAAAATTTGTCATGGTAAGCATAGTTAAGCCATTAAACATGTTGCTTAGAGTGACTGGAATTTCAGCCAGCTCAGACTAGACCCTGAGCATCCTCATTTGGCTTTCAGTTCCTGCTTTGATGGGTTTTGGACTACATGGCTCCTGGAGGTCTCTTCCAACCTCAATTAACTTCTGACTCTTTGATTCTGAGAAGAGGTCCACAGGAAGAAAATGTGGGGATGCACTGCACAATTCGCTCTGCAATGTGCAGTACAAAGATTCCCTCGGGCACTAACAGAACTATTGAATGGGTGTGGTGCTGAACCAACTTATGTAACCCTCTTTTATCTCTTCCATTGTAGCAGCTTCCTCTTCATTTCCTGAAACATTTTGCAGTGGATTGTGGATTCGGTTCACTCCTCCCTTTGTTATGAAATAATGTAAATCTTTTTACTTTAAAGGCATTTTTCAAAATGATTTGATAAAAAAATTCTGCAGGAAGGAGAGGAATTAGGTAGAGGAGGAATTGGTAGAAAAGTCACTTGGTTGTCTTCACCAGAAAGTCGAAGTTGAACCTGTCCCTAAGCTTTACTCTTAAAGCTTTGTCAGGGAAATTATCCTCTTACATAGGAAGTCCTTTTGTGCAACCCAAACCACTGTGCCCAGGATAAAAACGCCTGTCATTCTAGTGTTCATGTAACTGTTTGTCACATTAGAGTAATTTCAACAGGCACAGAAAACTTGCAGAAGGACTGTTGGTTTCCCAACGTTCTTGTCCGGAAAAGGTTTCCCCTTTCCAGACTTTCCATTCCTTATGCTGTTGTTTTAGGATGGTAGCTCAGATGTGTGCTGTGCTGTATTGGCATTACTGAGTCTGGTTCACATTAGGTGAGAGTATTTGTATCAAAAGGGAGGATTTGAAGAAGCTGCTTTTTAAAGCCTTGAGGAGGGGGGATAAAGGAAAGAACAAGATGAGCATGCAGTAAAAAGGGAGATTTAACTTGGGAGAAGATAGATGATCTCCAACAAATACAGTTGGGGAAGAAAAAAAACTTTGTGATAGAATACAAGTGTTTATATGCAAACATTTCAGTTTCCTTTCCCTAGTATAAATAATAAAAGTCATTCAATTTTTGATCCTACCATTGATGCCACTGAATTTTTTTACGGAGTTATAACTTTTTTTAATCTAGGCAAGTACATACAGCTTGTTGCAGAAATGTTGTATTACTCTAAGCACACAGGTGCTCCTGAGAGGCTGAAAAATAATGGGTCAGATCAAGAGCTTGAACCAGATAAGGATATTTGAAAGGCACTGCCATTCAAAATCCTTTTAATTATACAAACTAATCTCTGATGTCAATTACTTTATTTCAAAGTAGCAATTAAGGTACTTTGTAAGTAAATTCTTTTTGTTTACTTTCTTTTTTTAAGGGGATGATGTAACCTTTGAAGATGAAATTGAAGCATTGCAACTGCAAGTGAATAAACTCACTGCTATGGGAGTGAACAAAATAATTGCACTAGGACATTCTGGTTTTACCGTGGACAAAAATATTGCTCAAAAAGTAAAAGGAGTGGATGTTGTGATTGGAGGACATACAAACACATTTCTCTATACAGGTATTTTACTTCTTACTAAAATGTTGCTTCTGAAGCTGAGCTGAAACTGTTTTAAACTTGGAGAACTTTCACTAATGTAGTTTACTGCTGGCTGCACTCAGCCAGGTTCATAGCTGGTACATGTCCATAATTTCCATGGAAGAAACCAATTCAAAACAGCCTGTGCACACCAAGTACCACAACTCACTGAGAGCTTCCATAATGCTGTGGATGTTCAAGGTGACCTATGCAAAGTGGGGAAGAGGAACAAAGGTAGTAATACCTGTAAATTACTGCTAAACATACCATAATTTAAGCTCACATCTATAAAAGAATAAATTGGTTGTCTACTTTTAAACATGCATGTGACTTAATCAGAAAAATCAATCACAGAAGACTTCAAAACTGCTATGGTGTTGATTTTCTCTACAATCTGATTCTATATTCATAGGTCTTCATTTAGTCTGACATTAAAATACTTTCCCCAAGTTTCATCTGTTTTTTTCAATACCTCTTTTATTCTTCTTTATTCTTCTTTTCTCTAGAGGCAGATGTCATTCTAGAGATAAACATTGCTAATCTGTTTTCTCCTGCAGTAGTGCTACTTTAGGAGACACCTACCATCAGCACCTTCCCCAGTGCTGTTACCTTCCCCACAGTGTAAGGACACAAGTCAAAGAGAGGCTGTTTTGTTGTTCTGTTTGATTGAATTTTTAAAATCCTTTAAATTTAACAGAAGCTTTAATAACTGGATGAGACTATAATGGGGATTTTCTGTAATTTTTAGAAAAGTTTCCTATGTGCCCGAGTCACAGGGATAACATTATGTACCCTACCCTAGGAACTTGACCACTTAAAAGGTTTGCACTATCATCCTCTCCTCTCCCAATTCATCTCCTCTCTGTTTCTCATGCCTTTTTTTTCTTATCTGCACTCTCACCTTTTGTTATCTCACTTGTTAAAAAGAAACAACTGCATGCCACTGTTACACACTGAGCAGATCAGAATATCTCTTGAATTTGGCCTCAGGGAATAACTTTGATGACCAATCTGGAGGCACAAAGCATTTACACACCTACCTACAAGTCAGAGCTCACAAATACTTTGCATGGCGGTGCAGCAGAGAAGTAGCCAAAGTGGAACAAAAAGCAGGATGGAACATCCCAATACCATCTGTCTAAGAGTGACCAAGGGGGATGGTTGAGGGTACTGGATGAGCCTGTGGAGACACTTTACTCAGATCTGCCCATGTTTCCCACCAGTTTGCAGCTCAGGGACTCCCCAAGATAAAAATTATATTTTGATATTTGCTGGCTCCATCTCCTCCTGACTACCTTCAAGTTCCACAGCTGCCTGTAGCAGGGCTTCCAACACTGACCTGCACAAGCCACAGAGACCTTGGTCTTGTCTTGGGGTGCAGCATGCAATTTTACTGAATTATTTTTGAGATGGGAAAAACAAGGATGGATTCCATATACAAAGTGTGCATTCCTTGTGGATTTACACAGTGGAATCCATATTCTTTTCCACTGTGTTGTGCACAATGTCTGTAGAGAGTGTGCTGTGTTGGCCAATGCCTGTAGAGATTTTGTGCCTCATCGTGGTAGCCACAGTAGTCAAAATACCTTTGTGGGTGTGATCCAAAGAGGTGCCACATGTCACAATTTGGAACCATGATATGAAGTGCTGCAGGAGCTATCTGAGCTCATATCTTGTCTAGATCTGCAGGAGTTTGCAAGCACACCTCTAGTCATCCCAGAGAGTGGCCTGCTCTGATCAGACTGGATTATGTCAAGCCATTCCAGCCCTCCCCCTCTGTGGCTGTCCAAGATTCACAGTGCCAGAGAGAGCACACTGCAGGAGACTCTGCAGCCTTCAGGTTAAAAATCTCAGCTAGGAATGAGTTCTGGTCCCTTTTCCAAGGGCTCTACTCTTTTGATGAAACAAAACTCTCTAAATACTTTTATTAATACTGGCAAGGTGAGAAAAATAATGTCTGGGGGAGATACACCAAAAGTATCTATTTAGTCTAAACACGATTTTTGACAGGATGTGGTCTGAGCATATAATTTTTATCCCAAGTGCTGTGAAACACATGCTCACCCGTTCAGGAGCATCCTGAGTGCATTTGTGAACTGAGTCACAGCCACCAGTCAGCATTCCCAGAGAAACAGCCACATCTGTGGAGGTGATTGCACTGCAGAGTAAAACATCTGATTCGAAACGTCTTTCTGCATGTCTCAAGCTGCTTATATTAAGCTTATAAGCTCTCATTTAAATCAAGAGGTGTAATCAATAAGTGTCAGCAGAATCTGGGTGAATGTTCCAACTCAGTCTAAGTGGGGATGTATGAGCTGTTCAGCCTGTTCTGTCATGGAAGTTTAGAGACATACTGCCCATGGAGGCATTTCCACAGAGAAATCTTAATGTAAGGGTTTCATCTTGGACTAGTCCAACCTGTCTCTAAGATATTTGCCAATCTCCAGTTTATCCACAGGTTATAAGGCAAATATTGTCCTGACTTGTTCAGGTGTGCATTTGGTTTGTAGAACTGATTCAACCAGCAGTGGTAGTTTTGGGTTAGAGCAGTTGAATTTCTGGTTTTCATCAGAACTGATGTTATGAAAATGTAGTGTGTTGGCTAAAACAGGGTTAGAAATAGATAAGTGTTGCATGTTCTTCAGTCACCCAGTATGAATTTGTGCATTTGTAATGAAGCAGTGTCTCATGCCTTCACTGAGCATGAATTCTAGTGCTGCTGGGGTAAGATGCACTGAATAGTCTTTGCATTTCAGAAGGAACATATCTATCTTACAAGGGAAAGATGTCATAGTGCTAATTAATCCTGAAAAGAAGCATCAGAATCAGAAAGTATTTTGTTAGAAAACAAGAAATGAGTAAGACTCTGGACAAGCCATTAAATACACACAGCTGATATAAACTATAATAATGCCTAGAAAGAATATCTTTCTAATGCTCTGTTCATTTGAGGACTAAAGAAGGACAAGAAATCAAAACTTATTCCTTTTTCAGTTCAGAAAACCCCAAAGCCACTTTTGCGTGCATAAATCCTGGAGAGTCCTCATTAGTTACAGGATTTCTTAAATTTTTCCCTAAATAAACAAATAGTTAAGTGGCACTCCAAGGAACCAACTCTGTTGGCCTGGCTGAAAGTAGAAAATCTAGTTCTGTGGTAAGTTTGGTTCAGTTTGTTGCAGCTCCCCTCCCTGGAGAAATAGGAGGTATTAGAGAGGAATATGAATTGTATTGGAGTTCTAGCAGGAATATTTATCGTGCTGCTTATCCTATGATTTGATATGAAGTAAACAAATGTAAATGGAAGGAAGCAAGTTGTTCTGTGAGCAGTGGAAGTGAAGAGGCTGCTTTCCTCTGGATCCACCTCCTCTGCACCTGCTCCCCCCGCCCCTGCCTTGCCAGCAGCCCTGAGCTCCTCAACACACGGATGGGAAATGCCACCACCTTTGGGACAGGAGGCAGCAGCAGCCTCTGAGGGAGCTCTGCCACACAGCACGTGATGGCTCTTGGAGCTACCCAGCCTTGGTCTGACAGTGGGGCAGAAATAATGCAGGAATAACAGCAGGGAGAGATACTACTCAGATAATGTTGTCAATACTCAGATAATGTCAAGGAGACACGGAGAAGCCTGGTACCCTTGAGGCAAGACCTGTGCTGTGCAGGTCCAGTTTTCTTTGCCACTTTCTGCCCTGTGTGGCTTCTAAATCCTGTGGCCAATTGAACTCTCTCTTTTTTTCTGCCAGTGCCTTCCCTTAATCTGTTTCCAAGTCCTACCTCTAGTCATCTTTCTTTGCAGGTTGATAGGAATTTTGAATCCATGACCACACAACTTTAATGCTAATGAAGGTTGGTTTTGCAGAGGGTTTACAGGCTGTCTGAAATTTTGGAGGCTGTTTGGTATAGTGAAAAAAAAATCAGCTGGCTCTATGTACGAATTTACAGAAGTGTTTATAGGTATTCTGTCTGCTTATTAGCAGTAAAATTCATTAGACTTTTTCAGACCATGAAGTCTGATGTATGTTTTACTCTGATTCTTACTTTCTGCCTGATGCAGAATAATGTGGTGCAAAGGCTCAATAGTAAACTTTTTGCCCAGTGGCTGGTATGTTTGCATTACTGAGGGGTTTGGATTGCAATAATTGGAATGAAAAGTTGCTTTGTTGCTGTTGTGATGTGATGTCATGGCGGAGTGTGCAGTCAAAACTTCAGAAAACACTGTGGTAGTTATTTGAGTTCATGTCCTGAAAACAACACTGTCTCTTATGAGATAACTGAACGATCAAATGTCTGCTTGTTAGCCATGGCTGTTTCCATCCTGGCTGGGTTTGTTAAGGCTGAGAAACATTTGAAATGTCACTGTAGTAACTCCTTGAAGGTCACATGAGCTGAAGAGCCGCTTTTCATGCTTGTTCTGTGCAGGCACCCCACCCTCCACTGAACTGCCAGCTGGCCCCTATCCATTCATGGTTGACTCAGATGATGGGAGGAAGGTGCCAGTTGTACAAGCTTACGCTTATGGAAAATATCTTGGTTACTTGAATGTTACATTTGACAAGAAAGGAAATGTAGTTGAAGCAGTTGGAAACCCCATTCTGCTGGACAGCAGCTTTCCTGAAGGTATGTGGACTAGGCATTTGAGTTTGCCTACAGCACTCTGCTACAATTCAAGTCCTGTCATGTTAAATACAATGTCTGAATAAGAATTCAGCTTTCTTTCTGAGCTTGCCCATTCTCTTCTGTGAAGGGTTCAGCCTGTGTAACAGTTGAATATGCATGCATTCAGAGTGTGTTTTTATCTATTTAAAATCCCTGAAAGTCCTTTTGTAAGAGTTCAGGTGATACAATACCCTACCACTTTGTAGGACCTGTTTTAGCTAGTCCTGTAATTGTGATTTAAAAGATTATGAGGACTAATTTACAGTTTTGCCACAGGCTGGGTTCTTCAGAGCAGAGTTTAGAGCAATATGGAAAGTGGAAATGTTCCAGGAAAAACTTGAACTATCCTGCCAAGTGCTCTGCCAAAGTGCAAATGCAATACAAAACTGCATACAAACCCATGAGTTCTTGTATGCAGTTTTAACTCTGAAACATTTAAAGAAGTGGGAGGAGGAGAATCTCTCTGTCACTTTTTGTTTGTAACTCTATCTGAGCTCTGTTAACTGTTTTTTTTTGTCAGCTCTGCAATTACCCAGGGCTGGTTTTCTAATCTGTTTCTTCTCCTGTGTTTTTTTGTATGAAGTTCTGAGCTTTTATCAGACTTTCTGGGTTCTACCTGAGTATTTGTAAAACAAATAGTTTAAAAATTATTTGTTCATAGATATTGACTGTATTATTCTCACTACCTAATAATGTAGTGAGATGATGTAATGAAACTGTACATTCTCCCCTTGAAGTCAGTAAAACTTAAAATTCAGATACACTGATGGTAAAATTTCATAGATGTTGTTCTTGCTGACAGCTGTGAGCAAATTGATTAAAAACTAGTAGCTGATATAAAATAGTTGTAACATCTGTCTGCATATATAAGTATCTTTGGTTTCTTTCTGAAAGAATTAAATTTTCACCTAAGAGACAGATGTGCATAAAGAATTAATTTCTTCAAAGTGTTTATTCCCTGATATTGATATTTGAGCCATTTTTCCTTTTAGTACAACATTAAAGGGAGGAAATTACAAACAGCAAAAAAAAATTTGCATCAAAGACCAATCTCACTTGTATTTTTAAAATTCTCTCACCTGTCAAGGTAGGTACTAGAAAACCCATCAGTCAGAGGTTAGAACAGGACTGGGAAAAAGTACAGAGGAGGTAACCTTGCTGTGGCACAGGACTAGATTATTCCCTTGATTGTCCTGTCCTGCCTTCTCCCCTTACAGGCTTTTTTTGAAGTGAATGTAGTTGCCATGTTGCTTGAGAAGTTTTTAGGGAAAGTGCAACCTTTTAGAATCTTGAACGTTTTCTTTTCCTAAGTTTGTATTCACTGAAGTGTCATTAATATGAGATATGTATGATGCTTATTTTACGCTTTTATATTACTTTACAGATGAGCACATTAAGGAAGAAGTGGAAAAATGGAGAGAAAACCTGGGGAATTATTCTGAAGAGATTGGAAAAACTAGTGTTTACCTGAATGGTACAAGCCAAGCATGCCATTTCCAAGAATGTAACATGGGCAATTTGCTTTGTGATGCTGTGGTAAGATGTTTTCACCACTACTGGTGGCAATTACATCTAAGGGTTACTGCAGAGCTGTCCAGTTCCAAACTATCAGCACATGGGCTCTGTGCCTGCTTTCCTACAGTGCAATATCCAGCGTGTCCCTAGAAAGACCTGGCAGAAGCGAGGCTGGAAGGAATGCTGCTGCAGAGAGTCAGCAGCAGTTTATTCTTTGTGCACAGCCTCACAGAGAGAACAGCTTATTCACAGATGCCTTTGAGGCTGCACTTTCAAGGGATGTGGCAGTCTGATCTAAGGGCCCAGCAAGGAGGAGAGCTCAGCTCCCCTGCCCCTCTCCTGCTACTGGCCCCTGCTCACAGCACTCACCCTCTGTCCTCTCATTACTCGCTGGGCTTTGCTGTCACTTCAGTGCACCGGCACAGAAAATAAATCTGGGTAATCTTCTGTCAAACTGCTGACAAGAATTGTCCCCCTGAAGAGCCCAAAAGGTGCCAGCTGAAGCAAGGAGGGGGTGGGAGAGGCCATGAACCCAGCTGGGCACAGAACACCCCAGCCCAGAAGGAGCCACCAGCCCCTGCTGTGTTCTGACAGGCACTACTGGGCTTTAACAGTCACATAACTCCAGAAAAGTCTTTTTACAAGAGGTCACTTCCAGTTTTTAAACTTCCTGAGTTTGACTGCTTTACTGCCCTGCAGCAACATCATTTCATTTAAGTGTTTCAGGGAAAAACATTCACTAATGTAACTCTTTCCAGAAAATTAACTTTCCCATAAAGGGAAAGTTAAGGGACAGTTAATAATCATGACTTAGATATGCTATTTATCTAGTCCAAAGCTATTTATCTAGTCCATGGTATTGCTCTTATTATAGTCCTCAAAATAATTCTCTAGTTCAAGAGCTGGTTTTCAAATCAGACTAATGTTTGGGAATTCTGCATACAGTTCTCCTAGAACTGGAGCATCTTGCTTTTTTAATTCTGCTAGATTTTTTAATATCTTTATTTGCAAAAATGTGAACAAATGCTTTGGCACTTTTCAAGCTTAAAGAAAGTAACCCTGCAATCTTTCAGAAGTTTGTAGATTTTCTTGCAATACATTTTTTCTTAGGAGATCAAATTCTATTTTAGTTCAATCAATGTCCCTAGACAATCACCTGCAGTCATCAGCAGATACATAGATTTCTCTTCATGTTGCCTTGCCAGTTCTGTACTTGCTTTCCTGTCTGCTAACATGTGGTCAGAGGTATAAAGGTAAAAAATAGATCTGCCTGTTCCATAAGCTTTAATATTTAGAGCTGTCCTGAGAAATGGAGAGACTGAGAATTGCAGAAGATTGAAGGTTTGTGCTGGGTCAAAACAGAGATCCATTTAGTTCAGTGATGCATCTCAACCAGTAACCCAAAATCTCAGAATAGAAAGGTTGACAGGCCTAGATGGCATTTTACAAAGGACTTTAAAGCGACTCAGAGGTGAAAAGACTGTGAAATTGGTAACAGCACTGTGTGAGCTCCTCTTTTAAGCTGCCTCAGCTCAGGGCTGGGAAGTTGCAATCCTTTGATTAAGAGTTACAAACCTAAGCATGGCTCTGGCCTCAGGGCATGACTTTGATGAGTAAGCTGGAGGCACAAAGCATTTACACAGCTGCAAGTCAGAGGTCACAAACACTTCACAAGGGATGCAGCAGAGAAGTGACCCACCTGGAGCACATGACAGGACCATTCATCCCTAAGTTTTGTCTCCAAGAATGACAGAGTGGGGTTGATAGGGGATGAGCATACTCCTGGACAAGCCTGTGGAGCTGCTGTGCTCAGATCTGCTGTGTCCCCCACCAGCTCACAGCTCAGGCATTCCCAAGGCAGAAGAAGTCTCTTGACACTTCCTGGCTCAACTGGAACGTGTGAGGAGAGCAAGAAACAGCAACAGGGAGAGAGGGAGGGAAAAGGGGAGGGAGACAGTGGGGATTAGCTCCTGCAGAGTGGCTCCCCTGCCCTTGGCCTGCCTCCAGCCTTCCCAGCAGCTGGTGCCAGGGTGTTCCACTATGGACCTGCACATCCTGCAGAGACCTTGCTCTTGTCAGTGCCTAGCTTGCTGCTGCCCACTGCCTGCATAACTGCTGGGGGTCAAGAGGTCCTTGCTCTGGAACTTGCTTCCTATCCACCATCACACCACTCAAGAAGATTTTATAGCCTTCTTGAATACTTCCTTCCATGATCTCTACCTGGTCAGATAATCCAAGTCTACATCATCATTCTACATTCAGAAGTTTTGTGTGTCTTTGGCCATCCTCGTCACCCCTCTCTGAATCTTTTAGGTTTTTTATCATTCTTGAAATGAGAAAAGACACAAATTCCTACCCAGCCTCCACATGCCCTTCTTCATTTCATAGGCTTCTGTCATGTGCTTCCTGTACTTCTCTCTGTAAAACCAAAGAGTTATGGCCATAGTCACTCCTGTATGGAAAGTAGTCCATCCTATTATCCTAGGTCATTTCAGCCTTTCCCATTCTACTCAGTTATTTCTGAGCATTAACACTGGAGACTTATCATTCTGATGCAACTGGGCAAATATCTGGTCTTCATTTCCTTTACTATTAAGGATGTTACAAGCAAATATTACCTTGTCCTTGCATTTTGTCGGGGCCTCGCCACTGAGCTGCTGGGGACCCATTGCTGTGCAGAGTAGACTTTCTAATCTACTATTCCTGTTCTTCCACTGTTCTACACCTTTCTAGTTACCCAAGACCATTCCAAATACTAAAAACCAACCACAGAGGAGCTGAAAAAACTTAATTTCTGGCAAAATGATTAATTAATACTTTCCCTAAGAGATTTTAATGAACAACAGTATTTAAGGTCCTCTTCACTTCTCAGTTCCCCAAATATGCTTGAATCTTTTGTCTTTATCACAGTCACTAAAATAAAAAAATCACTTTTCCTTTGTTCAGCTGGCCTGCCTTGACCATGTCATAGACACACAGACTAGGGCAGAGCTTGAGAGTTAATTACAGTAAAGGGCAAATATTTTTCATGTTAAGAGTTTTAAAAAGCAAAATAATTACTTGGGTTTTTTAGCAACTAAGTATTTTACAACAGGGCTGAAGATAATGAGAAAAAAGTCAAAACCTTTCTGTGTTTTTTCAATCTCAGATTGTACTTGGTGTAAATTTCCAGAGGCTATAGTAAGTGAAGATAAAACCTGTTTAAACATTTTCCTTTGGTAGCTTTATGAGAATGTCAGGCGTCCGGATCAGAAGACCTGGAACCACGTTTCAATGTGCATCCTGAATGGAGGTGGGATTCGGTCACCCATTGATGAGCAGAGCACTAATGGTAGGTTAAATTACCAGCTGAATGGCAGCTTCATCAGAGGAGGAAGGAATCAAGTTATGTCAGCCTGAACACAGTAATAGGTATGGGCTTGTTCTGATGGGCTTTGCACAGTGTTAGGTGTGATTTCTCAAATGGTTGTCCATCATTTGAGCACAACTGCACTCAGGCTGACATTGACAGAAGTCTCTAGCATTGTTTGTACACAATGCTTTTTACAATTTCCCTCTCTCCTTGCTGCCTTGGAACAAAGGAAGGTCTCCTGCTGTACAGGGTCATCGGGTATGGTCGCTGTGAGCCTTCTGTAGTCTGCTGTAGAGTAAGTAAATTCTGGGGGTTCTGAATGCTAAGGTTTTAGTTTTTATTTTCCTGATACCACATAAATGAAATGTGAAAATAAACAGCTTTCTCAGTTCAGCTAAATCTTTCTGTGGGACTATGTGAATAAATCTTAACTGGAAAAAGTGCCTGATGTAGTATGAATAGCTGTGTTTTATCCTAGATTGGTGCTTTGTCATGTATTTTAGTAGCTCTGTTCTAATAGCAATACATGCAGTTACACCAAACTCTGATTTATTGGTCTTGATACTTGCTGGACAATAAAAGATATAGGTTCTTTGGGAACCTGCAAAAAATATGTGAATCTCACTCCTACAAGCCCTCATTCCCTCATTTTCTTAAACTGTATTTGCCATGTTCCTTGTCAAAAACTTGATGTTAAACAATCCTAAAATAATTCTGTAAACAGGAAAAAGAAACACACACACACCCCAACAATAACAAAAAAAATCCAAACAAAGAAGTGAACAAAGTGTCTTTCCCCCAGGTAGCATTACTGTGGAAGATTTGCTGTCTGTTCTGCCATTTGGAGGTCGTTTTGATATGGTGACATTAAAAGGTTCCACACTGAAAGAAGCTTTTGAGCACAGTGTGAGGAGATATGGAAAAGGAAGTGGAGAGCTGCTGCAGGTTGGAGGTATATTTTCTTCTTTCTTCTTCTCAGTTTTCCAAAACAGCCATCCCTCCTGTTGGTCTTTTTACATCTGGAAGGCTTTTTTTAAGAATGGAATGTCAAGCTGGCCATACATCCTCATCCTGTGCCTCCCACATGCCAGCCAGCAGCCACTCTTTATGCCATGTGTGTTTAATTGAGCCACAGCAGCACAGGGCCCATCGCTGCTCCCTTCAGCAGAGACAGTGCTCCTGAGCTCCCAAACCCATAATGGCATCAGTTTAACACTGCAATTAGCCAGGGGAAAATAGAATTTAGTGTAGCTGTAGCACAGAAATAGCTACAACTCCAGTTTTTAGTTCCTAACTGGCAGCCTACCTGACGTGCCAAACTGGATAGCTGTGCTGAATTTCAGTTTATCAAAATCACTTTGTGCAATTCTCTAATGACTGATGACAGTTTTAGAGTTTGTCCAACTGGGCTATGGAATTGCTCCAGTGAATTTCTAAACATTTTATGGATGAACTGTTAATATAAAAAAGCTACTCAAATCTTCAATTGCAGCTATCTATATGTTTATCCAGATGTGTATTAGGCTACAGTCATGTTTATTCCTGGTGTCTCTGTGATTTAGTGCAGATTTTATTGTTTAGTTAGCAGAAGAGCTGAACTTCAAGGGCAGGGGTTGATGCATTCCCTCCCTCCAAGCCTCTCATCCCATACCCCCTGGCAATGTGATCCCTCACATGCCACAGACACAGTGTCTCACACTTTCACCAGTTCTTAGGTACCTCTAAGGTGGAACAGGAACAAGCTCTGCTTGCTGCCTCTCCACAGAAAAAGAAGAAAACCAGTAGCTCTGGAAAGGGTTCAGGATGGAACATGCAGAGCAGGAAGAGTGCTGGGATTGGAAGAGCCTCAGTGCTTTGAAGGACCTTTAGTGGCTTCCTCATCTGCAGGTTCTTGGCAGGGCTGCTCTGGGGGCCTGGCTCTCCCCTGGCCCTGATCAAGGCAGGCTCACAGTGAGAAATGTTGCCTTTCCTACAGTGAGGAGACACTGCCTCATGTACAGCCCTGGTCTAGCATTCCTTTTTCAGGACACTGCCTATTATCCAGAATAGCTACCAAGTTAGGCTGGCTGGCCTTGAAAAAAGTAATTTCAGCCAACAGGCCAGGGAAACAAGAAAACATGTGACTATAGAAATAAGGGAAGGTATTTTTATCTTGCAGTACTCCAATCCCATGACCAGTAATTTCCTTTTGTGGAGTAGAGATGAGAACAGACATCAGATAAGTAAACGAGGTGGGACAGTGCTCCAGCAATTCTTATTTCTCTGGAATGTTTTTGCATAGAAGTTGAGTAAGTGTGCAAAGGACACAGGGCATTAACTGGTGCAATTCAGAACAATACAACTCTTCGTCACAGAAAGTAATGCAAAGATCCAGCTGAAGATGAGGGAGAATGCTGCTTGTGGCCCTGTGTGTTCAACATGCCCTGCACTAAGTGGCATTCCAATGTGTATTTTTGTAGGCATCCATGTGGTCTATGATCTCTCCAGAGCCCCAGGAAGCAGAGTTGTTAGCTTGGAAGTGCTTTGCACAGCGTGCCGAGTCCCAGCCTATGTCCCGCTCCAGATGGATGAAATATACAACGTGACTCTGCCATCCTATATGTTATTTGGAGGAGATGGCTACAGCATGCTGAAAGACAAAAATCTGGGATACAGTAAAGGTAAGGGGGATACAGTCCAGGTAAGTATGGGCTCTAACAGGGTAGCAGGCAAACAACTCACAAAAATTAAAAGATCTTTCTACAGTATAAACCTCAGACTTTTTGCCTATACTCCATGATTAAACTTTCTTCTACCCTGACAGCTCTGGCTTGCTAGATTTGGTTGTAGGCAGCAACTCTATTCTTTTTCAGTTAAAACCACAGAAGTTTCAAAGAGAAACATTATCAATTCAGCAGTGCTCAGAGAGCAGTCCTAAGGTTGTGGTAAACCAGAAAAGCAGCAAAGAACACGTAGAGTACATCTTACACTGCCTTGCACTTGTACTCATTACTGAAAGATGCTATTTTCTACAGACCTTAAATTTCCACTGTATAGAATTATTTAGAAAGACAGAATCATCACCTCTAGTGTTAAACAACATGCAGCTCAGGTGAACAACATAGGGTGAGGGGAAAGATGCCAACCTGCTCGAAGGGAATTTTGGCCCAGCCAAAACCAGGGAGCCCTGGGAGCTCTGCAGGCAGCAGAAGGCAGGGTGCCACAGACACCACACCACAGAGGTGGAACAGAGGTGTTTTATAACACTGGCTTAAGGTCCTCTAAAGCTGCATGCAAAGTGTTAGAATGCCTCTGTTTGTACAATTGGTATCGTCCATCCTTAAAGATGAAAGGAAATTTGAAAAAAATTGAGATTAAAATCCATTATTTCTGAAAACAAAAGGGCTGTGGGGCTGTATTTAAAAAAAAATGTCTTGTAGGAGCCCATCTACATTTTTGCAGAACTTTAATTTTTTATGTTCTGCTTATGCATGATGAAAGCATGCTTTTACCTCAAAAATTTTCCTTTTGGATCTTTGTTACAGGTAATTTTTTGTTTCTACAGGTGTTTAAATTTAAAGGTGATTCTCACAGGTACAACTGGTGTTTTAAATCAAGTTCAGCAAAATTTGATTTAAACATCAGCCCTACTCATGAGACTGAGAAAGATCATTAGGAACAGTGAAAGGCAACAACCTGTAAGGTTCTGGTAAAGTCTTTCAGTACAACAGAAGGGTAAAACTGTAATTATTCTTAAGTTGGAAGGTTAAGAGCTTGTATCAGAAGGGGCTCATTGCATGGTTGGCAGCAGTGACTGAAAAGGGTCTCGCACTAGCAGTGCCAAGACTAAAAACTTCTCCTAAATAAAGTAAATATGAAAAAGTATAACCAATAGCTTTGCCAGGTCTACAGCCCTATACCCCAAACAGGTGAGAGACTATCTCAATCTACCTGAATTGAAAAATTGTAATTTTTGTAATTTTTTTGTAATTGTAATAAATTCAAAACAAAACAAGCCAAACAAAGCAAAAATAATTTGTGTGTTTGTTTGTAAAATCTGGTTTGTAGCCAAATTTTTGCTACCACAAATTCTGGTTACAAACCACCACAGGTGATGTGTGCTGATTCAGAATGGCAAAGCATAGAAAACAATTTGATTCTTGAGCTAAAACTGGAATGTAGGCAAGTTCTTACATTTTGCTTAAGAGCTTGGCAGATGCACAGAACAGTTTTTTTGTTTGTTTCTTTAGGTGAACCTGACGTTGAGGTTGTTTCCCGCTACCTCCAGAGAATGAAGAGAGTTTACCCAGCGGTTGAAGGTCGAATAAAATTTTCTTCTGGAAGTCTTACTGAAGCTAGTCTAACCTTGATCTCTGTATTGTTGACTGTAACATTCCTGCACACTTGATTTTTTGTTTGGAGGAATACGGGAGGAGAGGTGATGCTGAGGAAGCTGTAAGAGACCTGTTCTCTTCTGTTACACCTTACAATGAATGAGCAGTGAGGTTGCTGCATGTCAGCAATCAGCAGCCCCCTGCCTTGTCTTTAACCTGGTGGTGCCACTGGAGCACTGTGTGCAGGGCAAGGGGCACAATCCACAACTTCTCTTGGTCAGAATCAGCAGGTACCTGAAACTGAGGTCTCAAAAGCAAAGTTCCAGTGAATACTTACTGCTCAATCATAAAACAGTGACAAACTGAAATGGGTTATTATAAATTGTCAAATTCTTTTAACTGCTTTAGACAGCGAGTTAAGAACCTGAACCCAGACATAAACAAGATTCTAGAAATGGATTTATTATAGATATATATTCCTTTCTTTGGTCTCCACTCAGGGTTAAGGTATTCAATCTAATATCTCTATTTTGCTTCCAGTCATATTTATCATACCTACATGAATACCTGAAAGAGCTGGATTAAACTTGGTGCCATTAAAATCATGAAGTCTATTTAATATGCAATTTTAAGAAGTTTTTCTTTTACTACTGAAAAAGAATTATCACACTTTTATTTTCCATTAATAAAGGATGCTTGACTTGATTTTGACCAATTTTAACAAATTGAGTATTCTTCACTCTTAAATATGACCAGTTTGGGGACTGTATCGAGAGTGAGAACACAATCTGTGACTGTATTTCATATAAATATGCTCACTTTTAAACCTCTTCCAAAGAACAAAGCACAGGACTGCTGCCTGTTACTCTGTATTAGCAACATTCCAAGAAAACGTCAGATACAGGCACTGACTCCTGCAGCACTTTTGGCATCCTTTGGAAATAGTCAGGTAATGGGGCTTTTTACAGCATAACCTGGCTTTATGATAACTGTGATTATATCTCTTCTATGGGAAGGCTGTGTTTAAAAAAATAGCTGTAAGAGACAGGCTAGTAAGTATGAAATCATATTAAATGCTAAACGTACATTGCTGATGCTTTATCAAGAAATGATTGCTTATAAACAAGGGTGAAAATATCATTATTTTTCTAAGATTACTGGGAATTTTGACATCAACATGTTTGGGTTGTTAAATGCTATGTTAAACTGATTGTTTTGAATAAACCTGCTATGTTTTCCTGCAAAGCTCAACAGGCTTTTTTTCAACACTGAAGCTACTTGCCTCTTCCATCCATTGCAGCTGTAGATTTCAAGAAGGTGCATTAAGATAAACATTCAGGATGCTGATATTTAAAGACCCCATTCACTTCCACATCCATTCAAGGGCTGTGCCTGAAAGGCTCTGGCCCCCAGAGCTGTATTAGGTGTATAAGGGGTGTAGAGATGGAGACAAATGACAGCTGACCTTGTCACACTGCCAGTTGTGCCCTGGCATTGATGACTGTCACTTCGACTCCCTAGGCTGTGAATTCACAGAATGGCCTTCCCTCATCAACATCAAATTAGTAACAGAGAGGGCACTGACAGACAGAGCTGTGCCTGCACACTGATTTTGAGAGTGGCAACAACTGCTCTGGCACAGCCAGAAAGGAGAGAAATAACACTCTCACCTTCCTTTGACAAACAGAAGGAAAAGGTCTGCAACAGTAATACAGATGAGTTATATTGACAAAGAACACCAATGCTGCATTAGATTGATGAGTTTGTAAAAAAGGAGAAAATATGTGTTTGAAAAGAAAATTTAAGGAAAGCCTATTAAAACATCTCTGTATTCTTCTGCGAGTAAAACTTGTTATAAAGCCACACATAAAAGTCCTTTTCAAAATGTCTTTTATAAAGGCTGGGCCAACAAATTAAGACTTACAGAGAAAAATCTTCCACACATTTTTGTATGAATGAACTTTTATAAAATGCTGTGAACAGACTCACATCCTCTTTTCTAAGCCTGTAAAGAGGATGTCAGAAAAAACCCACAAAGCCAGATAAGAAACTGCAAAAAAAATTCTTTTCACATCCGTTATTATTTTAAGAGGGCTTTAGATTTGAAGGTCAGGTGTTGAAAAGACTCAATTACAAATGTGATTTTCCATGCTCACAGAAAGATGAAGGCTAAAGACAGTTCTGAGATTAGTTGATTATATCTAATAGATTCAATCATATACCTTTGTTTGGAAAAAAAAAAAGGATTTGATAAGACACTTTAAAATAACTTAATGGGAGCATTCTACAACTTCTTCCAACCAATTTTTCTACATGTACTTTCAGGAAGACATGTCGTAATTGCTCTTTCAGCAAAGCATAAGTTGGCTGATTGCCCAGCTGTCTCTTTTGATGTCATCCTGTAATTTCATTCACTGACAGATTTTGGTGAAATAATTAGACTTTTACTGGTAATAGCTAAAACAAATTTTAAATTAAAAGTACAAATATTTTATTTACTTGCAATCAGTATTAAATTTTAATATCTTTATTGCACAAAGGTATTTTTTGAACTTAAATTTTATGTTATTTACAACAAAATATACAAGGCAATGTTAAAATGTCACATGTCCATTACAACAGTGCACAGCAGATCCTACTGGGTGTCCACTCACATCCAGCTTGACACAGAGCTTGCTTCCTTTGGACCCTGCTAAACAGGAAAGGGGGGAAATTTACTTATTAATTTACTTTACTTATTAAGTTTGAAAATGTGTATTTACATAGAAATACTGAACTGAGCTGCAACAATTAATGGTATCTGAAAACATCCACTTGAAACCAGAGTTAAGAGAATGGAAGGCTACTGAGTTTTTAATATGATTTCTCAAAATAGGTGTTTTCTTCTTTAACTGCTAAATATAGTTTTCTTAATACAGCAATTTTCTGCTCTGGAAATTGTACCGGAGAGGTATTTTTTCAATTGGATTTCTTTCCTTACTCTGCCCAGAATGCTTTTTCCCTTTCAGCTGTCCCTTTTCCTTGTATCCTGTCTGACAGACCCCCAGGGGACAGGCTGTACACTATCTCAGGAGTTTTCAGCTCCTGGGGCTGGCTGACTTACACACGCTGCCATCAGGCACAGCACACACCGAGCGATGCAGGAACATCCGCACGGGTATGTGTGGCAGGAAACGCCTTCAAGATACCAATCTCTAGAGTGGAAGCAGACTGACATCCCCACTAAGGAAAATCTTCCCATTCCTCCCCTCAATGTTTTCCCTGCCAAAGGAGCAGTGCTCAAAACAAAACTCCTGGGATGCTCAGTTTCCCCTTTACAAGCTGACTGGTCGGAAACATTTTTCCATTCTTCAGTGTAACTACAAAAACATTTTAGTGTGAAGCAACTCAAAAAGGACTCATTTCAGTCAATGCTGAAAAGAGAGAACAGGCATTGGATTGATTCCCCCAATACATACATGCACGGATGGCTAAGTAAGAACCAGTCATTACTTTTAAACTTCCTAACAACTGCAGTTGTTAGGAAGAAACAATTCTCTTTCCAAGTGGCTTCACAGTGACAAGTGTTTGCAGTGATTTTGGAAAATGTTTTTAGGGCTCTGGATGAAAACCACTGCCATCTCTCCACCCATATCCTCTCTACCTTGCATTTCCCCTCTCAGTCCTGATACACTGACAACCAAGTCCCACTGCCAAACATCACAGATGCAGATGTTCTGTATTGCTCTCAGTAAATAGCTCCAGTTCCCAGCTGAAGTATTTTTCTTCCTTTCCCCTACTGAAATCAGGGCCAGAGATTCCCTTGCTCTGTCCCCATCAGCTTCAGTCACAGGGGACAGGGGGAGCCCATCCCTCAACCCCTGCCATTTCACCAGGAGCGAAGGTGGCACTAGAGGTCCCTCCTCAGCAGGTGGTTATGGAACACTGCAAAGCAGCTGGGCAGTGTCATGGTTAAGCAGGAAAAAAGAATAGAAAGAAGTAGAAAACATGATCTTGATTTACCTTGAATAATCTTTCTCTTGGTTTGTTTTCAAAGAAAAAGGTATTTTTCCCCCATTAAATATCCAACATACCTATGAAACCACAGCATGGCTGGGGTTGGAAGGTGCCTCTGGAAGTCACCTGGTCTAGACCTCAAGCAGGGCCTCCTAGAGATGCTCAGGACCATGTCAAGACAGTTTTTAAGTATCTCCAAGGATGACCATCCCACAGCATCCCTGGGCAACCTGTGACAGTGCTTGGTCACCCTCACAGTGAAGGAGTGTTTCTTGATGTTCAGAGGGAACCTCTGGTGTTTCAGTTTGTGCCTGGTGCCACTGGTCCTGTTGGTGGCCACCACTGGTTCTGTCTTTGTACCATCCCTTCAGTATTTACAGACACCAGTAAGACCCTCTGAGCTTTCTCTTCTCTAGGCTGAACGGTCCCTGCTCTCTAGCCTCTTCTCACAGGAAATATGCTCCAGTTCCTTCATCATCCTCATGGCTCTCCACCAGATTCATTCCAGTATGTCCATGCCTATCTTGTACTGGGAAGCGCAGAACTCCAGGTGTGGCCTCACCACTGCTGAGCAGAGGGGCACCATCACCTCCCCTGACCTGCTGGCAACACTGCTCCTAGTGCAGCCCAGGATACCACCAGCCCTTTGTTCCACTTTGTGTCCTTCCAGTTGGCTGGCCCCCTCCTAGCACCTGGGGCTGTTCTTGCCCAGGAACAGGACTCTGCACTTCCCTTTCTTGAAGTTCATGAGGTTCCTGCCAGTTTATTTCTCCAGCCTGTTTAGGTCCCTTTGAAAGGCAGCATGGCCCCCTGGTGCCCCAGTTTTGTGTCATCATCAGGCTTTGCTCTGTCCCATCATCCAGATCATTAATGAAGCTGTTAAACAGGACTGGAGCCACAACTGACCCCTTGGATATCTCCATGTTACTGGCCTGCCTCCAACCAGACTTCATTCCATTGATCACCACCCTCTGGGCCTGACTGGTGCTTTAAAGACTATTTAAATGCCACTCATTTTTTCCACAACCAACTGAAGAAAGACCAGTGTTCCAATAAATATATATAATTAGCTGCTGAGATACAAAACCAGTTCAGCTGAGTAAAACAGCAGGGCTAAGTCAGGTCCTTTTTCTGCACTCAAGTTCCCAGGCTACTTCCTTGTTCCCTTGGTCAGCTGTCTGAGCATTGGCTGGAGGAGGGCAGCTACAGAGCTGACACAAAGTAGGTCAGACTTGCTGAGCCAGCCTCATTTCACTGAAAACAATGCAGGTGTCCTGGCTTGTTCCAAGACCTTGTATTTGTTTCTGTTTGTCATGCAAAACAAATCACTGCTGGCACTCTGCAGTTGTCAGGCACAGGGTTCATGCAACGAACATTTATTGTTAGTGAGGGGGCTTTTAAAATTTGTTTGGGGTTTTGTTTTTTACTAGCTAACTAGCAGGTACTTCCTGCTTGCCATGAAGACCAAACTGTAAAACTGCTATGTAAAAATCTGTCAAGGTTTCATATACACAAGAACAAATACCAAACAGATCCCAAAACTAATGATATGCATTTATGCAGTCATTTCTCTTGTGCAAATTCTTTCTCCTTTATCTGGATAGCTGAAGTTAACATTGCAGTGACCAAATTAGAGGTAAGAAATCCTCCTGCCAGATATTCTTGAGAAAAATACTGCAGCTTGACCTGAACTTTGCATGCAGAATTCCATTCCTAAATTGAAAAATGAATAAAATAGAGTGGAGACAAATCAATCAAAGAGAAAGGCACAAGAGATCCCAACTCCTGGTTGATCTGTCCAACTCTCCTGAAAGGCAACTCAGACTTGCTGTATGCTGAACAATTTGAGCTCGAGGTGATTTAGAAAGAGCTAATTAGCCAAAATGTAAGTAATCTGGATTTCAA